AATAAGAAATTGAGTGAGATCTGAAGGTGCGTTATATTTTGTCACCTTTTAGCGGTGACTAAGTGAACCGCACCATAGGTGAGCGTCGCATGCAACCGAGTATTATCCGATACATAGTGTTGAAATAGCGCTCACTAAAAAATTTCCAGATCAAACAGGCCAATTCTCGGAGGGATGGTGTTACAGGTCAGACGTGCAACATCAGGTTAGGATACCCAACAGATCAGCGATAAATTCGAGTGTGTGCTTGCCATATGGTGAAGTTGCGTCAACGTAGATAAGAAGCTGGAAACACAACCCAGTTTGCGGGGAAATTTAATTGATAGGAGTCGAGGTTAAAATTCGGAAAGTTGACTGCTGTCAGCTGGAATAAGCATATGAGCAAGACCGCGACGGGTGCAGACTGGTTCTGCAGGTCGAGTTGGAGAAAAATAGCGCAAAGGCGATTGGCTGGTGCCACGCGTTGAAGGTGCTGATGAATAACAGAGCCTGGCTACGACCGGATTACGAGGCGTTCGGAGTATCTATTACGTTGGCGAAAAACGAGTGTTAAAAAAATGCAGGAGAGCCAATTTTGCAAAAACGGTGACGGCAACTTCGTTTCCAAAATAAAAGATGCAGTTCCACTTCCGGGCACACAGAGGAACATCTTGATTAATCGCCGAGCCATAATGTTTTGCGTGCGCAAAGTGGTCTAAAACAGATGTAGGAAACAGAACTAATGTGAAAGTCGATTTCGTGTGAATGATCTGGAGGATGATTGGGACATACAAGGAAACATGATGGAAATAGTACGATCTGAACGAGAAAGTCAGAAGCCATGAAGGCGAACGAAACTAAAACTAACCCATGCGTTGCCTCAACATGCTGAAGACGCGTTTGGGGATCTGGTTAATGAAGCACAGGGATCCTCGTAATCTTCCTCAGCACGCAGGACGCTGGCAGGCCTAGCTGTGAATGTGATATATCACCAACTTATAGTTATAAGAAACTGGTGATGTATCACTTCTTATAGTTATAAGACACTAGAATAATACCGCATTGATCAGGGATTGAACCAGCAACCTTGTCATCAAAAATAGCAGTATCTGGCATCATAACCACTAGACTAAGTGGGCATTGAAAATGACAACACTCAATCAATTATGTAGAGCCACTTTTTCAATTGCCCTGACCTTTTTTAATATATATACCGACTTTTCCCCGACTTTGCCCGAGCCTGCCCCCAACCTTGCCCCCGACTCTTGCCCCAACTTTGCCCCTGACTTTGCCCCTGATCTTGTCCATGTGATCTGATTGTTCCGCTAACATTTAATGCCTTCATGGCACAGTGGTTTATTGTGCATCAAGTTTCCCCTTTTTGATGGGAAGGTTGATGGTTCAATTCCCGATCAGGGATACATTAGCTGATGCTTAATTGCTCTTATAACTATAAGAAGTGATACATCACTGGTTTCTTATAACTATAAGATGGTGATATATCACCCTGCCAACTACCAGTGACACTGGTACCATTCTCGAAAGAGAGGCGGTACTCTAGTCATCTGAGGGCAGATTCTGTGCCTTTTGTTCAGCAATCCATATTCTCGAATTCCCAAATTGCCTTGACGCTAGTCGAGATCTTTGAATTAAGAGTTGGACTCGCAATCTGCTTGGAGAGATTGATAAGGCAGAGACTAAGTAGAGGGATGATGGATAACGAGCTGATGAACCGGTGGACGCCTGCAACACCGTCAGTATGACTAGACAAGGGTTACCTGTTGGATACTTATACACATAGCTCAGGTGCACGCTATTCAAGAAGCACTTTCACTGCTACACAGAAATCCTTTCTACTTACTAGGGCGGTATGGGATTTATACGAGCTGGTGTGTGTCTGAAGTTCCTTTTATATTCGCTTCTGGGCGTCTATCGCTGGGTACAATGGTACCAAAACCCTGAGTCTGTTCATTCAGATGAGAATCTAATGCAGAACACTATTCCATGAACCTACTGTTGTGGTGCGTACGTCGATACCCGATAGTGAGAAGCATTTGAGCGAGGACGGGCAGATTAAATTGGCCATTGTTGTGGAGTTTAGTAGAGTTGAATAGCAAATTTGAATTATTGGCAAGTGAAAGCGATCAACGCCACGACCTCTCCACACCGTCAGTCGCCATCTGTCCCAGCTGTGGCATGGCGCATACCTGTGTGCACACGACAAGGCCACAGCGTCGCTTCACTGGGCTTGCCACTGTGTAGGCCCCGTCCAGACGAGATTCAGCCTCCATCGTTGCCCCTCAGATCACCGTTAACCTCAGCAAGCCTTATCCACTCATTTTCGCCGCTTATCCACTCGCCGCTCACGTCCTGTGCCACATTGTTGTTTTCCCTGCCCCACAACCTGCGCCGATGCTCACGTCCCACTCTACCCCCCCGCAACTACGAATAACGAAGCATCAAAGCAACACTACCCGCATGCATTCCTCCGTTTTCGCAACCCCTCCGTTCTCTCCCCCTCTCCACCTACTTCCCGCTTTCGCTCAAGACGGCGTACAGGAGCTCGTAATCCGAGTTGAAGGCAACATCTAGGCGTCAGTGAGGCCAAGCCTCAGCCTTAATCGGTGCATGTCCTGTCCTGCACCAGCATTCACACCACTGACGCCCTTGTTTTGTGGACACCATCATAAACATTCGGCGTCGCGCAGCTTCTTCCTGCTCCTGGAGCCTGGGACTGATCGCGTGTTGGCCACTACGGCATACCTAGCTACCACCAGTGCCCTTCAAGCCTTGTAACCCTAGGATATTGTCAGTTTGTTCCTGCAGTGCGTGAAGTGGGCCAATGGGCGTCATCCCACCTGGCAAAGGTGTGCATATGTCGCATTGGCCGCCACTTGTCGACTTATGAAAGTGGGTACTGACGGTCCGATATTCACAATCTCTGGCCTACCAGACTCCTCCATTTCCCGCATTGCACATGTGGTATCTCTGCGTCTCCCACCGACTCCGACTTATCATTACAGCCGCAAGGGAAGGGGAAGGGACTGGTCACTGGGTCTTGTTCGTGGCTGTGAGGGATTTGGAGAGGGTTGGGCCCGGGTGGGTAAGAAGGATGGAGTGCTCAGTGCCCGCTCGACGCACATCGCGAAACCAGAAAATAGACGACTCAAGGTTTGAAAAGATGTGTATCAGTTACATAAGATGTTTCGAACTGACAGTACAATGGAATGCTCACTGGGATTTCGCTTCCAAAGTCATGTTGCTCTCCAATAAGGTCGACCACCGCGAACTTCCCTGCACTGTCGCAAATCGTGCTACATATGGGCGTACATGGTATCCAGAAATGCTTTCGATGTCAGAGCTTTTTTGCAGGATTCCAGGGTCCTTTCTTTCAACTTGTCAGGTGATGTATCAGCCACTCACGCCCAACCCACGAGTTGCCCACTCTGCCTCCTTCCATCTCCAATCTAGTGGGGCGTCCCACATCTTGCAGCATTGCAGAATTTTGATTTTGAAAGTCCTCCGACAGGGACCAACACCATCCCGAAATTTAGATCGGTCTACTCTAGTGTTCTGGTAAGTAGTGGCTTCGACCATTTTTATTGCCCTTGCTCAACAGCCGTTAGATATGGCCCCGCATAAAAATCCACATATATCCCTTGAGTCCGCAATAAAACTACTAACATCGACAGTGCGAGATCCCATGAAAGCGAATGTATGCGCTATGAGGTTGAGCCTTGCCGCGGATCGTATCGACCAGGAGCTCGAAGCGTGCACTTCCATCGCCGCAAAAACAAAATTTGCTAAATGCCATCCCGAGTTCCTTAGAGCAGGAATCAAATTCCTTACATTTAAACAGCCTCCGTCAGATCACATGGCGATGATCAATCATTTAACGCCGTGTCATTGCAATTTTGCTGAGGCTGGGATGAGGAGTCTCCATAAACCCAGCCGGTACCGACTCGATGGACGAATTGAGATTGGCCTGGTCACCCTCGTTTTTGACGCAGTGGCCACTCTCAGCAACTGTCTTATTCTCGTCCTCAACGATTTAACACCCCACAGATTTCGCGACGGGAACACAACAACTGGTGAACAGAATTGGCCGCAGGGACCCGAAGATTTACTTCCTTACGGACCCAAAGACTCCCTCATCGGGCTAGAACTTTGGGTTGCAGGACCACCTCTCGGATATATAATATTCAAACTCGCAGGGAGTCTGGCAGTATTCTATGCCCCATTCGCTCGAGAGGTCTTCCAGTCACCACAATTCACCTTCGCATTTGCTCGGCCTATTAAACACCTTGAAGCGGCTGTCGATTTTTACAATGAAGGCGACTCCTCGTCGCTTGCACGCACTCATTTTTTTACCTACCCAGTCAAGACAATTTTTGAATTTTTCGATCATCTCGGACACTGCGACAGACCTCAGTTCAATATCATGATAGTTGCGCGAGGCTGCTGGATCTCACCCGTTCTCGCACGCCTGACAACAATCTTATCTACGCTACCTATGGAATGGAGCAAAACCCGCGCTTCGCTGCAGTTTATGACTGCTTATGCGAATGCCAAAGTTGATCCGGCGACAGGAGTTTGTACTGTCAAACTTGAGCGCGAGCTCATGACCGAGCTTCCTTTCTTTGATGCTCTTGAGAAAGCTTTCAATGAAATAATCGAGGTTAGAAAGATGGGCTGTTTGAACATCGCATGTTCTTCGGGGGCTGACATCGTCCATTCGCGGTTGTGTAGCAAGTGCAATCTTATCAGGTTCTGTGGAGAAAAGGCAAGTTTTCTCCTTAACTATTTACTCACTCTCAATAAAAATCATCCGCAGTGCCAAAAGGAGGCCTGGAAATCCGGCAAACTTCCGCACAAACCTGTCTGTGGAAAGATTCATTCTTTGAAGCAATCTTTCGGTGCTGATAATTGGTCGCTCTTACGGGCACCCGACATCACATATGCCCAATTTCAAGCTATATGTAGAGAGAAAAACGTCGAATTGGAGATCGTGAAAGCAATTGGAACAACCGTATCCGCCCTCAGGCTGCACCAAAGTATGTTTCAGGAGGACCTGAAACGAGCAGGAGCATCACAGATAGAGCACCTCACAAGGGCCAGGCAGCAGAAAGCAATGGATCAAAATTTAAATGATCTCATTCAGAGCGTCGGAATGGATTCATTGACAATAATAGATCGACAAGATTATCTCGCGATGTCAAGTCGAGGGGCTATTCAGTGATCTTGTCGGTTCAACAGTGGATAGTGAGTTCAACATTGTTAACCATCCCGTGATATCTTTTATGAATGTCCTTTTGCCCTCTTAGGGCTCTCATAACCTTGCTGCTAAATATTCTGTTAAAATTCTTTACGTCTCTACGCTTCTATATCGGCATACTTTCATACATAGCTGTATCCAAAAGAAAATTATCTTGTCTTCTTCTGCGTTGCCCAACCTCACGATAAATGCGCCATCCTACACCATGATCATCCAGGGAAATTAAAGCTAGGGCCATGGGGATGAAAACGGTGTGTATGGATTAGATGGGTAACAAAACATGCCTAGAGATTGCGTTACCACATAGAAGATAGTAGAAGATCCACGATGATAGTCAAAATCGATGCTCGGAAGTTAAGCAAGGATACTGGAAATTACCACCGCAAGTATCGTTGGGATTTATGCCATTATGGTCACAAAAACCTTGTGGTCCACGGATTACTGAACCCATATATTACCAATCACAGCGCGATCGGTACCATTACCCGAGACGTTGACCAATTGCTGTTGTGGCGATACACATCAACTCGTCTGTACACAACTCAAGATGTCCAGTGGCTATCATCCGCAAACTGAGGGGTAAACCGTACAACCAGCACCCCAAACATGGAGTCGGCCTTCGAACACCCCCCACCCAAACCGTTACCAGTGAAGGACACCGTAATCTATCCACCTCCTGGTCGCACCCATGCAAACAGCGATGCTAGCGCCTCAGTGTCGCTTACCCCTCTAACAAGGGAGACTCTCCTCGGACAGGAGGAATCACTGCACGCAATATTAGAAGCTGAGCCAAGCCAGGCAGCCAATGAAGATCGTGAGCACCTCGTCTTTTCTACATTGTTTAATTAAAACTGACCACTTCTT